ATGTGTTTTTTTTCAGTGTAGTATGTATGTTGTGAAAATGGCGTAAGTGACTGGTGGTTTTTTTTTAAGTCCGTGAGTCATTCTGTCCTTGCCTAAAAATCGGTATGAAGGGCGAAAAAAATGCTTGTGAAAGGATGTATAAGTGCCACACTTCTCCTGAAAATAGAATTACATGAACGTAAGTTATTCTGCCTTTGCTAAAAAATAAGTGTAGAAGGTGTTACAGCCATAAGTGGGTGTAATACTCAAATTTCGAGGAAAAAAGAGAAGACAAGAAAAAAATTGGTCCGTAAACGTGACAGAGGTTGCATACATGCATGTATTCCTACGTCACATACCCTAGACTCTCTAGTCTCTAGGAGTAAATCGTGGGAGTGGAATGTGAGGAGATTGAAACTCGAAAACATGATAGTTCCCCCTTTCTCGCCGATCTCCACTTATACACCTCTGGGAAGTAAATGTATCAGATTTCCCGAAAAGTGAGAGATGGGTGGCTCAAGCCTCCTACCCTTGATGACGGTATACGCCAAGTTTCTAATTTCCAGGAAATGAGGTCAGAAGGAGAATGTTCTTCCCTGTTGATTCCATAAAAATGAAAGTTTTAAACGGAAGTCAAAGAGGAAAACTTATGGAAGAAAATGAAAGGATGCTGGGAAGTGTACATGGTTTAAAGCCCTCAAACAGCTTAAAGATTTAATGCGGTTTAAAACTTGAAGAATTAACAAAGTTTATAGAGCTTAAAGAGTTAATAGAGTTGAAAGGGCTTTAAAAGCTAATACGGTGAGAGAGTTTTGTATTCGAAGAGTTAAATCGTCTGCAAGATTGTGTGTTACAATAAATTTTGACAAAAATATGGACATGTTTTTTTATATTATCTGTAGTTTATTCATTTTCAATTAAATTAAAAAGTTTCGAGAAGCATTTCTTTAGTTCCATTTTTCCCTCACATACTTACGAAGAAATCTTGATTATACTATTGTACAATCGAATTGGGAAAACCTCAAAAACAAAACGAATTTCAGTTCCCCAAACTGGTACTAATTCTTTACCTTCTCTGCCAGGTCTGCAGTAAATGTTTTGAAAACCTCGAGGATTGACTTATGATTTCTTCTAAATGCATCGGTTATGCTTTCATAGATCGTTGCCCCGATTTTCTTTGAAACACAACAATCAGCAATTACACCTCTGAAGCCTCCAGTTTATACGTGGAAAAGAGCCTTGAGAAATGCGGAGATTGCAAATTCATAACAACCGAGGCGCCATCAGCTATTTCTGCAATTGTACGTCTGTTTCATCACTGCCGAAGAGTGTTGCTACATTTAGGCCGTAATTGAATCGGTTTCCGTCTTACGGGCGTAAGTCCAAAAACTCGTGAGCAGTAAGTTGTTACCAAAAGCTCTAAATGCGTCTCGCGCCGCACATATGCTGGCGATAAGCCTTATGCGGATGAAACCGTAGGCACCAGGTAAAGACATGATTAATATTAATAAGCTATTCCGCCATCTCTAATTGCGATCATTTGAAGCTGGACTCATTACATATATTGCTGATAAAATCAGAAAAAGCTCGCATCTTAACATACGGCGACGCAGATTTCTCAACTAATTTGAGTCCTTGAGTTTGTAAGCGGTGAATCGAGGTATATTAAGTTTGTCTCAAACTTTGGGATTTTTTTCTCTTCAATAATTGATGAAAGGGCATGGATTTTGAAACACCGCAAATAAGTTCCGTAGCTTTTTAGTTTCAGCATCAATACAATGATCGTGCACTGGAAAAAAAAATAAAATAAAAAACATTGGATCTAGAGTTCAGAGTCCTAAAAACTTTGACAAGAAAAAATATTCTTGATTCAATCAGAATCTAGCTCAAATCAAGAACCAAGCCTCTTAATTTAAGCGGACTTTGTTTTGATTCGAGCAAAAATCCGATTGAATCAAAAGTATTTTTTCTTGTCAATGTTTTCGAGAGTCTGGACTCTATATCCACTGTGTTTTTTTTTCAGTGTAACGTTAACGTTGTAATCCACCCATAAATATTGCCTTTTTCAGGGTTATGATCGACCCATAAACCGGAAAAAGTGAAAAAATAGGGGATTCAAGCTGGCGGGAAAATCGTGAAACATACAGGAAACTTGGGGAAAACCCCTTAAAAATTCGACGAATTCTGTCACTTTCAGTAGGTATTGTAAGGCTGAAAGTTTGACTGCCTGTGCGCTGTGAAAGTGCTGAATTCTGCCTCTCAAATCCGTGTGAACTCCGGGAACATTCAGGTAAATGCAGAGTGCGCAGAGAATTATTATTTCGAGAAATCTTATGGACCCTGCTTCTTCGAAGCCGCGGACAGTTTCGATCTTTAAGTGCCTTCGAAGTTTTTTGATGACGGGTTCCCTCTCTTAAACTATTCTCAACCTCGCAACCGAGTGATTAGATGCTCTTCCCTGAAATGCGGTGACCCCTCGGACGATGTGGCTTAGCGTTAATGGTGCATCGGCACACAGTGGATCGAATCGAATGGAGAGGTCAGACAAAATTCGGAAACTTTAAAAGCTTATAACTCCGTTTTTACAAAACGTTGAGATTTTGAGAGTGGTTCTATTGGTTTCCTCGTTAACTTTTCCACTCAAATATCCCTATAAATTTAAAATGTAACGGAATAAACATCAAAATTTGCAGTGTTTGGTCTAAAATTTTATGTTCGACCTTTCTCATTGATTCTATCCATTGTGCGGCAGTTTCTTATGCGAGCCACTTACAACAATGCCTCCTTCACCCCCAGCCCACCCTCGGGCCGAAAATCAGGAGAAGAGCAAAGAAGAGGAGAAAGTGAGAGGAAGGCACGGAGAGGAAGGGTAAAAAAGCAAGAAGGCGCAGAGATAAAATTTCTCCTTTTTTGTGTGTTTTATTTTTTGCTTTCTTCGTGCTTTCTTCTCCGGCTTGACTTTGAATAATCGTACAGTCACAGGGATGAAATCCGTCAATTTTTACTATCGAAGCAGTCTTTAACTTCAAAAAATGATTCTTTCGTCAAAAAACGTCAATGTATTAAGTTGCCTTCCTTTTTTTTGAAAGAAATTTCTCGGATCCCAAATCGCGCTGAGGGTTCCCCCCCCCCCCAATTTGATGTCGCTAGATGCCTCCCCTCCCTCAACCTCTCCCCGGACTTGCCAGTGTAAATTGGAAAACACCTGTCAATAGAGAACACATTCAAATTAATCAAATTAAGCCGGCCGGGTTGGCCTATGGTCAGCGCGTCTGACTCTAGGTCAATAGGTCCCGGGTTCGAATCCCGATGGTAGCGACTTTATGGAACTGACGAATGGATCTGCAGAAACAGATTCCACTCGGCCTTAATCCCTGAAAATTTGAAAGCCTGGAGCATAGATGTGCACTAACCCCAATATGATGCTAGTTCAAGGTTGCAGAATCCTCACATGTATTAAAAACCTCAAATAACTTAAAAAGAAAAACTAAGAAAAAATAAGAAGAAACCTGTGCATGTACATATTTTCTTTTCTCTTACAAATTCTATCCATGGAGTTAAAAATCGAAATATTCCATAATTTTACTCCCTTTTTTTAAAATTTCTGTAAAACAGGGTGTCTAGCATCAGGAAAAACCGGAAAAATCGGAAAATATCAGGAATTTTGGCCGACCAGGAAAAACTCAGGAAAATATCAGGAAAATCTGAAAAATCGGACGTTTTATCAGGAATTTTTATTACGCGAATCTCCTCAGCGGAGAAAGTCTTACTGCTTTTTGCCTACCGTGCCAAGAGTCGAGAAAAATCAGGAAAATATCAGGAATTTTCAAAATGAAAAATTCAGGAATTTTTTATGCAGTATCAGGAAAAATCAGGAAAATATCAGGATTTTTCAATTTTAAAAAAATACTAGACACCCTGGAAAAGCATTAGTTGCATCAGTAGCATGCCAGCAGCAGCAGCAGCAGCAGCAGCAGCAGGAGCAGTAGCATGCAGTAGCAGTACATGTCTATAAACATTTATGCCTAACCACCCGATTCCGTCGATAATTTTGTCGCCCATGTGGTCGGATCCACTCTCATTTTCACCGGGATTTCGGGAGCCGAAGCGGCAACGCTGGTTCGAACGTCGCTCCTTGTTGCGCACCGCACGGTGACGTCACTCGAGGGTCTACTATTGATCTAAAGCTTCGGGGATGGCGTCACGTGATCCCCGCATAGCCACCAAGTCGCCCCGAAATCCCTTCATCCCCTATCGCCCCGCCTCATCGCCAGAGTCGTCCAGTGCTGCGTCCAAGTGCATTCAAAAGAATAGTTCCCATTAAAGGGCTTTGAGGCCTGGACTCTCGACACGCGACGATAACAGGGTGTTCACGTGCACTGGAAATAAAAAGACACATTGGATCTAGAGTCCAGACTCTTAAAAACATCGACAAGAAAAAATACTCTCGATTCAATCGGATTTTTGCTTAAATCAAGAACCAAGCCTCTTAATTTGAGCGGATTTCCCTTTGATTTAAGGAAAAGTCTGATTGAATCAAGAGTATTTTTTCTTGTCAATGTTTTCAAGAGTCTGGACTCTAGATCCAATGTTTTTTTTTTTTTTTTTTTTTTTTTTTTTTTTCAGTGTGGCTGAAATACTCGAGGGGACCAAGGGGAAAAATTACACGCTAAAATTCCATGGGAAGTAGGAGATGTCAAGAATTTTCATGACTGTTTTTGGATTTTTATCATTTTTTTTCGTAGCCGGGACTGTTCTTGAGATAAATGAGGTTTGGTCGCTGTTATTGTCGTTCTGTCATAAATACGACAGAACTTTTCATCTTACAAGCAGTCTCGAAGACCATATTCCAGGGTACATGCTCCGAAATAATATTCCCAATTTTGAAAAAGCTTTCCAATGTATATTTGATGTGCAGGAATTTTTTTTTTTATTTTTTCGCCTTTTAGCAATCTTAAGATAAAAAAATCTATGACTTCGCACACGAAGCAAAATTCAAATTTAACTTATCTTTGTTTCAGATTATCCGCAAATTCACTACTGTCCGGACTTTTCCACACACACAAAAAGCATCCGTAAGTCCTCCTCTCTTTTCTATTGCGTCTATTTTCATTTATGTATTTATTTATTTTTTTAAAATTTGGTTTGACATTTTATCTCATACCTTTTTTCTGTATTAAAAATGAACCAAACCCAAATTAACCCGGAAAACGAACCTGAAAAAAAGAACAAATAATGCCGAACAACCAAAAAAGAAGTGCTATCCCGAGAGGTAGTACACACAAATTAATGAACTTTTAAACCTTTCTGTTCAACATGCTAGTGTTCTGAGTCTTGGTCACCCTTTACCAGTCCTGCGACTCGATCATTGAATCGATATCGAATGAACTCGATCGTTACAAAGCATTGCTAAGATAGGGATTTATCGATCAGCAGGGTGTTTACAAGTCCGGAATTTCTGGAAAGTCCGGAAATAGTACTGATTTTTTAAGGGCGGTCCTGAAGCACTGGAAAAGTGCGGAATTTCCGCAAGAAGTGTTTTCATTTTGTTATAATTTTTGTCGCAATTTGAGCGAGTAATTCAAATTTTTGAAATCCTTCAAATTTCGTCAGTGGAGATACTGAAAAAGTACTGAACATTCCGTTGAAGAGGTACTGAATTTCTTGGGAATGTACTGCAAAATCACTGATTTTTGGTCAGCCTGTTTCAGTAGACACCCGGATCAGGAGCATACGACTCAACAATTGACCCACTGAAGACGCTCCGCCGTCAATTGGACCGAGATCATCAGAAAGGAACCCATCCACATTAAGTTGAAACTGAGAAAAAGAGGTTTGAAGTTGTATCCCTTCATAAGGCTCAACGTAGAAAATAAACTTCGACCCCTCTTTTCACAAACTAATTTCTTTTTTTCGACCTCCAGTTTTTGGCAGGAGAAAATATACAGCTAGTCGAACTCAAAAACATTCTCAGCTAAATTTCTTCGAAAATGAGGGTTGGCTCCTTTCTGATAAGCTCGGTCCAATTCAGTTCAAGCGCCCCACCCCCGAAAAGCCAACCATCCCTCGGGACAAGATAAGCACCCTTTCCGGCGCAACCCACCCCTTAAATTCCATAAAGTATTTCACTAAAATTTCTATTTTTTTTTTCAATTTGTAAGTTTTCCGAGTCTTGGTCACCCTTTCCTACCCCTGAAGACACTCCGCCGACAATCCAGTTCAAGCGCCCCACCCCCGAAAAAAACAACCATCCCTCGTGACAAGACAAGGACCCTTTCCGGCGGAACCCATCCCTTGAGAGCGAGCAATCCGGCAAAGGCGCCCACCACTGACCTTAACTGAAATTACGGAGCCCTCGGGCTTGCGCGCTTTCCCGCTTTCCCGCGCTCCGGTACTCGCCCGCGCCAGTAGTCTCGCCCGCGACGACGACGACGGAAAAGCCTTTTCACCGACCTTTTTCCGCCGACCTCAACAACCCAGCCCCGTTTCAATATGGCCCGTGTCCCTCGTCGTTTCTAGGCCCTTTTCGCCCCGAAGTTTAACCTCCACGGGAAGTGCACCGCGGAATGACGTCACCGATCGGATACTTCGCCTGTTTCTAGCTGGATAGCGGATTCATCAACCCTTAAGTGCGTGTTACTTTTTCATCCCTCTTAGATTCGTGTATTGTTATACCCTCTTTGGAATTTTCTGCATGGTGTCTGGATGAAACAGGGTTACCGCAGTCGGGGAGTACCGGGAAATGTCAGGGAAACCCGGGAAATGTCAGGGAAAATGACGAAAATGTCAGGGAAGAATTCAAGTCACCTTTATTTGCTTTGTAGTGTGGGTTTGACGTTTCGAACGACACATTTTGACGGAAAACTATTCCTAATGATGGCGTTTTAACCACCTGGCACATTTTCAATAGTCAGGGAATTTCACCCAAATGTGTGAGGAAAATCAGGGAAATGTTAGGGAATTTAATTTTCCAAATCCTGTGGCAACCCTGAGAAAATCGGAACCCTTCAGGGGATGATGTCAAGGAGGTTCTCATTCTGGGGGGCTGTGGACTTTGCACTAGGAAAATCTTTTGAATGATGAAACGAATCAGTATTTGTTATCCAAAGTCCGGAGAAAACTTTAGTTTTCTTCGGAAACTGGGTGAGGAAATTGGAGAAAACCCCTCATTTTCATGTGGGAACTCTCCCCTGGTTTTCCAGGTTCCCAACCCAATAGTGTGTTTACTTCTTCATTCGGAAACCAGTGGTTCGAATTTCTCGTCTTTTCGTCAGAGACCATATTTGTTTCTAGTTGGGGAGTTAGCGTTCAGTCAAAAGTTGGAAAAAGTTAGTATTTTTGCTCTAAGTTCCGAGGGGACTTTCGTTTTTGCGTGGAAAATGCGGGAGAAATGACCCTCTGATATTCTCTTCGAAGTTAGCCTTTTATTTTCCAGGTCACTATTTCATAAGTGTGCGCCATTCGTGTCATGCTTTTTTCATTTGTGCCTGTTTTACCTTCGGAATTTACTGCATGGTGTCTGGGAAATATTGGAATTCATCAGGGGACGAAAGCGGGAATTTCATTCGGAAACCTGTGGTTAGAATTTCTTCCCTTGCCCTCAGAGACCATAGTTTTTGAATCGGGGAGTCTGCGTTAATCGTCCTCTATAAAATTAGTCAATTTTAGACAATATATTGCGTCTCAGTTGGAGTGCAACTTTTTAAAAGTGTACTGTACTCACTAACGTCTACGTGATCAAGGACCAAATTCGTGTTGGTCCTTCTAATCACGGGTCCTCGGTTCGACCGGAGTGTAGGTATTTTTCAGTTCTTCTCATCACGTAAGGTTTAGCGCGACGTGAAAAAAAAAAAAACGTATGATGCCTGCAAGTTAACGTGCTTGCCTAGCGTTTTACCTCGCACTGTTATTTATTGAATTTTTTTAAACATCCGCATCATTCCTAACCTGACCCAACCCTATCACACGGACAGTGTATTTTAAAGACTCTTTAGTAGCTCCAAACAATGTACGAGTAAACGGATTTGTCATAGGTCAAGTACGTTCCCGCAAGAGGTGCTCAATTCGGCCATTTAATTTTCAGCGAAGTTTTTCAAAAAGAAACGACGGTTGCTCTGTATGTGTCTTATTAAGTAATCGCCCTAATTGGACCGAGTTTATCAGAAAGAAGCCAACCCTCATTTTCGAAGAAATTGAGCTAAGAATATGTTTTTGAGTTCGACTAGCCGTATATTTTCTCCCGATCCCAAAAACTGGAGGTCGAAAAACAGAAATTAGTTCGGGAACAGAGGAGTTGTATTTTATTTTCTACATTGAGCCTTCTGCAGGAATAAAACTTCAAACCTCTTTTTCTCAGTTTCAACTTAATGTGGGTTGGTTCCTTCTGATGAACTCGGTCCAATTCACGCTCTGTATAGAAAGAGCATTATGTCAGTGTAGGATCAGCTCTGTTGAATTCGCTCAAAGTTAGGGTTGAATAGTGAATATATTAGCAACTCGGCAAGTCTGGGTTGTGTTGAAGCAGTTGCACATTTTTGACTGAAAAGTTTAGGGGAAGCAAAGTTATAGCTTGAAAGCATAAAAGATAGTCATGTTGGGATCTAATTCGATACAAGCGATAGTATTGAGTTGGATCCAAACAAGCACGTAACAGCTTTACATGCATTCAGTGAAAATAAATCGAGTATTCGATATTCTTCGTGACGTATGAATAATAGCATCTTGATCCCTTAAATAATTACGATTCCCCAAATAAACCTCTGTGCTGAAAATAACCTTTGTGCTATGCGATGTCTCCGCCTAGGTTCCCCTAAGTGCGACACCCGCGCTTCTCTCATTACCGATATTCTCTACCGATCAATACCCTTTTTGTTCACCATAATGTTCTGTTCCTGCTTTCTTGAATGGACGGGAGTCACGGACATCTATTCTGTCGTGCTAAGGAGGAACGCCGTATGAGCCTTCAGACGTTGTCAAGTTTCTTTCGATAAAAACTGAATTTACTGGGGAAATGTTGAATATTTTTCTCCAAAATTTCCAGACAATTTCTTACGCAATTAAATCTAAAATATCCGAAAATTTCGAAGAAAAATGTGCATGAATGTCGTCGAAACTACATGTTTTATCAAGGGAAATTTGACAGCTTTCGAATGTTCATACGGCGCTTTTCCTTAGCACGGCAATATTCCAGCATAGAACATTACAGGCCGTTCTTCTGAGCCTTCTGATAGGTCGGTCGTTCAATCAGAGTATTTATGATCGTCAAAGATTTTGCGAAAGCTTCCGAGCTTTGAACTTCAAAAAAATAAATACCTAGCCCCCTCCCTGAAACATTGTTGCAAGTTGTATGGAACAGATTACACGAACGCTTAATCGGTACCCGCAGACAGTTACTTTTATTATTGTTATAGTTGTATTATTGTATATTGTTGTAATTATGGTTCATACTAAGTAGTCCACCATGAAAATAAAGAATATGAAAGAGAGAGAAGGAAGAAAAAAAAAGTTACTTTGCGAGCAGAGACGTCTTTTACTACCGCTTTAGGGATGACGATTAAATCGATTCGATTTTTGGAGGTCGATTAAAAATCAGAATCGATTTTTAGAGCAGAAATCGAATTGTTTAAAAAAAATCGTTTCTGACGTTAATGTGTCACGTAAGGCCTGGGTTCTGTGAAACCCGAGCTTCATTTCAAGCTCAGTTTTAGTAGTAATTATGTTTTGGCGCCTAACTTGGATATTTCTTTAAATCAATTTCGAAAAAAATAGATTTTTTCCATTCGATTTTTTACCGAAAATAAAAAATCAAATCGATTTGTTCGAAAAAATCGTCATCCCTACCACGCTCTCTTCCATAAAAACCGAACAATAAACTCAGCAGAGAAAATGAGATACTCAGTCAGTTTTGTCGGCAGAGGATTGTGTAATCGTTTGCAATTTTGCTAACCACTTTTGCTCACTGATGCGCTCACCAACTCCTCGTTTCCTGAGGCAATCGGCCTCCTTTCGCTGAACATTGCCCGACTGACGATCGACTTTCAGTCAAGTCCAGCTCTCGCTCGTTCGAAAATAAATC